CAACACCTCGCACCTCTTTGTCGCAATGGCGGCGTGAGAGCGAAGAGCGGCAGCGAGAGCAAAAAATGAAACCGATCCCTACAGGAAAAGACTTCACGCTTCTCTGTCTGTGCGGGCTATACTCTAGGCTGTGTGTTTTGTGCGTATCTGAGAACACTGAGTGCCCGGGACTGTGACGGGACAGCAGCGTTAAGGGCAATTGTTACCACAGGTATTTTCAGAAAATGTCCAAATTCAAAGAAGCTTCAGGTGAGGCAGTTGCAAGTCCCTGGAGTAGTTTTAGCTTCCATCGGAAAAGCAGTGTGCCTTTGAGATGTAGAGTCTAGCGAGATTTAAGCTGACATTGAGGTTTAATTGGCAGAATTAATCTGCATAAAGGTATCAAAATATGCCTCTAACAGAAGGGTCATGGAGAAGGTTGGGCTTTGCGCCATTACTAGCAGAACCACTTTATTATTCTCATTACTATTTATTACTGTACTACGAAGCAAAGGTTACAAATCTTTTGTATTTTTAACGATTTCGCTGTTTGTTGTTTGACTCAGCTGAGCTAACATTGCCAACATATATATTCGAACGACAGCACAGAGATCAAGCCTGCTCTATCTACAATCCACTATCTGCCTGGCTGCTAGGGTAGTATTAACAGCTTTGATTGTTGAACAGGGTTGATCTATCGAAGTTCTGTTAGTGGTTGTCTGTGGTATCGCACATCGCGCACGGCAAAAGGAACAGACGCCGCTATATCAGTCAGAGCAAGGTTCAAACTCTTCTTCAAGCGTCTGCCCGCCTTCTTCATACTGAACGTTGGCGGTAATGAGGAACAAATGTGATATTGTTGTGGTGATAGAGTCCTCGTAGGTCCATCAAGATTGGACAGACACCAGCGTCTCCGTCCAATAGGTATTCGGGCTGGCGTCAGTCCCTGGTCTTTCTCTGCCCCCGCGTACATTTAGATTGTCGCAGCTCAGTTACCGCCGTTTAGCTCAGAGCCGCTAAGCGAAGCTCGCATTCTGCTCTAATCTAGCCCCTTACCAGATCGCCACTGAAACACTGGACAAGATCCTTGGCTGGAAAATGAAGCCGGTGAATGGTGGGATAAGATAACACTGCCGGCCCGGACGCAGCAGCAACAATCAATGAGTCATCTTCCAGAGAAAGGCGAACAGAGCGGAGTTCAATCGAGCGATTCTTAGAGTTGACGGGATATCATTGCTTGAATGAGCCGCTTCAGTATAATCTGTTGGTAAGTTACTAGCTCGGAAGCGCCGAAATTGGCCGCCAGAGGCGCCTACATCGTGCGGACGGACTCAACATTTAGTCTGGGTAGCGTGAGAGGTTTGCTTGGCAAGTAAAAACTATCGTGATAACTCAGTAGCTTTAGCCTTAGAGGGGTCGAAACATTTCTGCTAGACGAAACAGATTCCGATTGAAGAATAGCTCAGTTATTAGTGATAGAGCTACATTATTTTAAATGATTTGCGATTATTGCAAATGTTCGCCATCGAACGAACAATGGTAACGTGTTATTTGTCGTAAGTCTCTATGTGCAATGGCCCGAAGTATTCCAAAACTAATTTTAAAGAAAGCGCTGGGAAATTTAGGAAACGATATAGTAAAGGAACTCGCATATTTTTAGTGAAAGAAATTACATTTTCTCCAGTGCTTGATATTATTAATAACAAATATAGGAATGGAAACATATTTTGTTTGTTGTGTGAAACAGCTAAATGTATTTAAATAATTAGCGTAACAAGTATACACCACATATATTTCGTATCTGTGATCGACTATCCAACTTCAGGCGTTACCTGCTCTACCGGACCTGAAGCAAAGGTCCCGTCGGCTAATAACGACCCGACCGATCGGGTGCATGCTAAGGGTCAGTTACCTTTTGTCTTAATTTCGCTGACTTTCCGCGCTAATGTTTGCGCCAAGCAGCGGCAGTCGTCCTTTAGTGCTTGCGGTAGCTTCAAACAGAACGTATTTGTCTCGCCTCGTGCGAATGCCAATCGCTAATGGCCGCTGCAGCGGCCAACGTTTAACAGTCGATGAATGACAAACGAATCTAGTCCCGCTTGAGCCACCTTAGTCGATGTTCCCTTTTAGCTCTCTTTGGGCCCATTTTTTGGGTCAGTAGACCCCCTTCGGGCGTGCAAAGTAACCAGAACATCTGAAAAGTTCTACTGGGTCTAGCCAACTGGTTGACATATAGACACGGAACTCTGGTAAGGCGCAGATCCGAACATTTTTCTATGGGAAACGTTCCACACAGGCCTAGCGCGGGCCTGCACGAAAAAGGCGTCATGACAGACACCTGAATTTACGTGGAACAATAAATATCTATATCTGACTATACTGCATCGTTTAATATCGGTGATTACAGAAAGAAGACACGCTGGCCGCTACGGTATATCGTTTGATTGTATTCGGTCACAGTGAAGCATAGGCTGCTGTGTTCAGGATAAGCGAACGGCTAGAAGCGCTACGCTGAGGTTACATTGAAGGCATTAAGCTATACTTTATTTCAATGTATGGACTTTAGTGTGAGCTTAATACGCTACCTTTGGCTGTTCAGACTTGAGGCTCTGGAATAACTAGAACTGTCATAAACGGCATTTTTCCGAGGGAAATTTTCGGATGACTAACCAAGTGATATCAACATGGATTAGCTGCCGGGAAAACTCGAAGATGATGTTTGGCTTCGTGCAGACCATTAGTCATCTTGAAATTGTCTCAGTGACTACTTCTAAGGAACTTCTTGTTTTCCTTAACTGCTGAACTAATTACTCATTATGCTTTTTTTATACTCAGCGAGACCCAAGACCCTTTACTTTAGGAGTAAACTCGAATAATATTTTATATCTAAAAGAAGCGAATGCTGATATATTTACTTAATAATAAATAAATAAGTTACCGATCAGGCAATCAAGTCGCATATTCCAGTGCCCAATGTCCGTATACACTTTTGTCGGCTGCGCGTTTATTAGGGTTTCGTGTTCAATCCCCTTGATAGCTTAGGGGGTAACGTATATGCCTTCGGGACACGTTGTGGTCTAGATTCGAGCCCAAGCGTAGATAGATTTCATCTCGTGCTAGAAGACTGTCGTCTGTCTGAATGGAACGTCTAGCGACGATACGGGACGTTCTAACGTGATGTTCTAACTGGGGAATACAATCAATTTACCGAACAATTAGAGACAGGCTACGACCTTTAACAAGTAGGAGCACACCGAGGTAGATTGCTAACCGGATATAACATCATGAGGCCTCCGTAACGACTGATAGCATTATACAATTGAAACGTAATGTCTCGTTATTAAGAGATGACAACGACTCCGGCAGCAGGTGATGCAAGGAAATCTGGAAAGGACTTGCAACAGCATCCAAAGGTAAAGTTCGTCAGGCTCTGAGAATTAAATGCAAATAATGAAAAAAACGCAAGTAGCTAAACGTCATGGTTAGGCGGCCTTTATGGCATCAGATGTTTGCTTCCGTGTCGATACCGCGCCAGATAGTCGGTACGTGCATACTCAAAGGTTCACCAGAGGCGTTATCAACGCTCTGTCGATGGGCGATGCTAGCGCGGCCTGGCCTAAAAGGAATGGCTGAATAGCGAAAACGCTAAAGCGTACCATTCAATTGAATCGTATATTTGAGTGCGCTGAGGTAGGCAAGAGCCTGTGGACACGGAAGCGTCAATTGAGAAGCAACGAAGGAGGGAACGACTGCCGCTTTGTATGTCAACTCATTGCTCTTTCCAGTGATGTCAGCCAGAGTGCTCGGTCGGATCGTGGGCAGGGTTTACCGCGCTCAGCAGTTTGCATTCTAAGCGGTAATGGTGATACGCGAAACGCCTGACACATAAATAAAGACAGGTATGATACCACCAGTACCGTATTGCTGGTAGAGCTTGGGGAAAAAAGGGCACACCCGTGACAATACCCGCTGGATTTTAATACCTGCTGTAACTATAACGAGCATCAAAGCTGCAAATGTCAAAAACATACATGAATACATCTGAGTATGGCTCCGGAGAAACATATGGACTCGCGTGCCCTCGTAATATTTAGGAATAATCTGAAAAACATTGAATTTTCAACTTTTGTTCGTACTCTTACTGTTTCAAGTGACAAAGAAAATAGGTAGCGCGTTGCATTGGACGTGAGGGCAACCTAGCAGCGTAATCAGCACAACACTGCAGTTATATCGTACCACGCTAGGTTGTCGTCGGAATTACCTGTAAACCTCCTAATTAATATATATGATAATGGGTAGCGCAAAGTAATATTGGGGGGTAAAGCGTAGACCCTTCTTTTTCTCGATAAGCTGTTTTAGCTGCTACACACATGTAGCTAGAACACCTTATGTACGAGACACAGCATCGAACTACAACTAGTTATTGTACAATAAATCAATTGAATTCTAGAGAGAAATTTGTGATGCCTGACAGCCAATTGCCTATGCGCAATGAATGAAAGCATATACGAAACAAACAGGCGACAGCCTCGCCCTGTTCTAGGCCAATGGACAATGGCCAGCGATCATTAAAGACATGACATCACTGTTAAAGACATCAAGGTCGTTCGCGATATTCTTTTGAATGGATGGACCACGACCACGGGTGGTGCGATTTTGCAAAGACAGAGCCGTTAGCTTAGATCTATATTAATATGCACAACACGAGTGTTAGAGGAAAGCCAGACAAACAACTCGAAAAATGTTGGAAGGTATGTTATTACATAAAAGGATACTCAGAAACGTGCGAGAAAAAGACGTGGCTTCGTGTGACTGAGCAATTCGACTAATTTGTTTCTACTAATTTCAAACTTCACAGAAGTCGATGAGGTGACGGAGGTATCTCGTGCGCTGGCATCATTGTTTGTTGAAAGGACAAGATGCCGTCCTGTCCAAGGACAGATGCTTTTGAGTATACAGAATTACTGAGTATACAGTATTTGCCCTGTAATTAATGAAAAGTCGCTATTTCTTCTCTACAGACATTTACGGCATGGTGCAACTCGCATCTGCGGAAGGCGGGAACGCAGATCGACAACATCGAAGAGGACTTCCGCAACGGTTTAAAGCTCATGCTCCTGCTAGAAGTGATCTCTGGCGAGACGCTCGGAAAACCGGACAGAGGTAAGTAGATAAACTTGCACAGTGGCCCAACTCCTAAAACAATAAATTTAATGTAAGCGAGGCCGCTGACGCACCTTGTCTTTATGGCCATTATATGGCGCCTACTACACTATTCAATTCGATCCTGCGGCGCAGACCGATCACACAATAGATAATTGTTGCAAATGTCTTATGACGCAGTATGAACGTGAGTGACGTATCTGTCTGAGAGAAATTTTGGAGTAAGCCTTTATTTTAGGCTACATGATGGAGCAGTAGCAGCAATAGCAAACAGCGGTTATTTGCGTGGTTGTACTGAAATGTCAAACACTTTCTTAAAAAGCATGATCTGACGTCCACCTACTTACTTGAAGGATACAAAAACATCCGTCATTCAGATGCGAGAAAGAGTTCTGGCTTCGTATGACCGCCACACCAAAACTGCTTATTACTATAGATATGTCTACTTTAGTAACTTCGTTTTAAGTTAAAATCGTTTTATTTTATACATATCGATGAAATAGGTACTGAATGGCTGGAAACGTTACAGTTGCAACTTGTGTAGATTTGTCGACCATAATATAACGAATTTTATCGGCAAATAGATTATTTCGAAATGATAATCATATTGAACTCGGTCGCAAAATACTCATGTAAACGACACTTAGAATAAGTGCCTTCATAATGGCCAATTATATAACCAGTATTTATCGACAAAGGATCAGATATGACCATTGCACCATTAAAAGTAATATAGGTTTTTCTTATTACATGATTAAACAAGATCTTGCTTTAGGGTGTAAGGATTTATCAAAATTCAGGCCATTATCACTCGACATAGCGGCACACTTGATGTGATTGATTTTTCACTGTTACGTGAACTATTCTATCTAAATACTTTTGATACCCTTTTGGAATTTTTGATACTCCAGCTAGGTGATGTCTGACTGCCTCGTTTGGATGTCTTGTTGCGAACCGCGCAGCCCACCCCATAGGGCATGACAACTGAAGTACTCAATCAGTAGGCGGAGGTGAAAATAATCCTTCGTCAGACCGACCACCTACTACAATAAAATAGAATCCTAGAGGGCTTGCTCGTAGTCTGCTATATCGATTCATTCCACTTGTTGGTAAAAGTAACAAAAGCGATTGCCCTCGGCGATTGCCATTCTGTCGCGTAATATGTACCACTGACAAGCGGCTTTAGTCATAGCTCAAATACTTCGAGCACGTGTTACTCATTGCTCTCCGTTTATGCCTTCCATTGGTGAACTAGTTTCTTTGCTAAGCTCCCATTGCAAGTCGATGTCTTAGGTTGCCATGTTTCTACTTGGAACAAGTAAATCAAACTTTGAATCTGATACTGCTGTATATTGTTAACAACGCCATTCGAGCTGCCTCAGACCAATGTTAGAACCTAAACCTCGACACCGGCAAAGCAAGACTTCTAATATATACAAGCAACAGATCGTTCAAGTCTTCGACTACCGACTGATTTAATTGAGAGCTAAAGAAGAGCATATTTTATGATAGCGTTAACACTAATGCAGCTTTAACGTGCGCGGAATTCTTGCCCCATGCAAAATCCATTTTGATGAGGTCGGAAAAGGAAGCGGGGCAAGGGGTAGGGAACCTTGACGATGAGGCGCTGCTCTTTGAAGCAGCATATAGCACACGCAACGTTAACGGCGATCGCGTTGGAGGTTGGTACCCGTCAAAAAACGAGGGAAAAACTGGACGTAAGGAGCTGCGGCCTGTGAAACCTCGAGATGGGAAATGTTTAAGCATTTTATGGCGGGGAAACTGAACGGGACGCCACAACACCTGCTAACAAATACTCTTGGTTAGATCGGTCGTTAGCTTGTTGAGTGACCGACTCTCGATGGTTCTCGGCTACGATATATTGCAATGGACCCTTTGACCATGTATGCGACTATAGGTAGATCGGTCTAATTGTTGCCTTGACACTTTAAGCGATCACAGGCAGATTAATTCAGTAACGTTTATTTTTGCTTGAGCTATTTTTTATTGACGGTGGTGACTTATCGGTTTTTGGTAATTATGCTAGAGGAAGCCGGTTTTTTTGTTGTGCAAAAAATGAAACTGAGTTAGAATCTTTCAAAGGATCTCGCAGTTATGTAGATGTATTATTAATGCCTTTTGGCATTCTATTATGCGTATATCGTGTTTTTTGTTGAAAGACTGCTACCCATGAATAGACACTCGTTAGATATTATTTAAGGGACCAAGAGAAAAGAACTTCGCTCTAGCTTAACTTTATTTATTTGTTGGGAAATTACTATTCCTCTTGTTGCGTTGTGATACGTATTTGTTACCCTGGTATATTTCATTGATGTGTTTTTACCGATGATGCACTGCAGAGGCCGTTGCACTGCGTTTTTTTTGTCCATTTAAATTTTGATTAGTGTTTTCGTTTGAGCAATTTAGCAGATTTTGCTTCCCACGCTTGGACTTCAAAAGGCTGGTAAGTACTTGTGTGGCTTAGGACTTGCAGCGCGCCAAATTCCATTTATTCATAAGATTGCGCTATTATCTTGTTAGTAGGTGGCCCGCTAAAATGGATGGGGCATTGGAAAACTTCACGTACACTTCACGCTGTCTGCTGATCAGATAACAGTTAGGAACGAGCACTTCCAAGGAATAGAATTAAACAATTTTCTGGGGGGTTGAACATCTCAATATTATTCGTTCGTCAACAGCGATAATGTGACTGGCCTATTCGAAGCAGAAATACTGGACAGCTTTTAGAAGACCCCACGATGTGCCAGTCAATTCTTGCACGAAGTTGTCGCTAGGTATAATAGCAGATATCAGCTGCCAACTAGGACTAACAACTAGGACCTATTACCTGGAAGCGGAAGTAAGAAAATCGACAATGGAAGCTATATCACACTAAGCGATTCACCCCAATGCAGAATGAGCTAGCCATTAAGCTGTAAAATCATAAAAAGCCATCGAATTGTAAGAAATTAGTTCAGACAGATATAGTCACTGTAACAGACCCACCTTTCATTTAAACTGCGGATCCTTTTTAATGGGTGTTGATTTTGGTGAAGCTGACAGAATAGGTCAGCTGTGGGCGTCATGCCTACCTTTCGTTCGTTTCCACAAGTAGGCCTTGTTGGTATCGTTCAAACGCATGAAATAATTCCAACTGGCATACAATTTTTTCACACAAACGTTGCATAGTCGTGTTGAGGCGTTTCAATACTATCAGAAAACTACAGATAGCTGATCTGGCGATTTTGACAAGGCTTTCCGGCTGAAATATGCTTCTCTCTTCCCTTCTGCCGAAATAGACAAAACATAAATGGGCATATCATGTTTGATTTGTCGGACCTCACTGTTCCACTAGTAATCCACTTGTCCACAAGAAAACCACTGAATACAAGATTGCAGCCTCCGGTGCGCCTCTTCTGATATATGATTACTGCTATTGCTATTGTTGTTTAGGCAACTCATTCTGCTGGCAGGGGGATTCATTGATTCAACGTACCTTTATAATTTTGTATTCATGTGAGATGATACCTGACGCACATCGCATGCCCGCCTTTTACTCATGTGATCGGTGACGCGCATTTTTTGCGTTTTCATTGCCAATACTAATGACGACAATGCCGCCCGCGCACTATAGTTCAAATAAACGAACGCGGCCGAGCAGGTGACAGACGATAGATAGACCGAGACAGCAGCGCCAACACAAACACAGAGACACCAGCGCTAGGAAGTTCAGCTTTGCCCCCGTGTCAGTTTTCGTTGTTCGGTGATAATGAACATAATGGCAATTTCTAAAGTTGCTTGTAGCCGGTAGCCTGTAGCCCTTGTGGAGATGGCATGCGGACACGCATTCGTACAACTGCGGCCACTGGTATTACTCTGATAACCGGCAATATTACTGATCTGTCATGTCTGCTGGGTAGGCGATAGAACATTTTTTCATTAGAGCCACTGTGAGAGCAATGATTAAATACAATAGATAAAATGCTAATAACAGGGATGCTGATATTTTTAAAGCTTTCTAAAACTATTAGAACCTGTGCTTTAATGTAGGTAGGGGTGCGGTGGATAGGGCTGCGGTCGAATAGATCTTCTATTCAGGAGCAATATCGTCTGATATAATCAGGTTATAGGAATGGCCGTGGGCACAATATTGTGGGATAGAACTGATTCAGGAGGTGTGATCGAGTTGGTTATCAAATGGTATCGATGAGTTGTTGTTATTATTATGAATTAGTATTTATTACCACTGAAAATGTATATACAAGTTTTAAGCAGCAAGTAAGTTAATAACATAAAGCGAAACGTTAGTTTAACGAACGACGGGCGTATCAATTAGCCGTGCATCCGCCCACTGCTACGCCTACCTATTACGCCTACGCCTACGAACCTATTATTAACAGCAGTGCAACACTGAGTTGCGCTTCCAGCGGAAATTAATGTACATCAAATTTATGCAATGAGTCTCATAAACGTTAGTTTTTGCCATAAAGTGGGTCGGTTTTTGATGCGTGCAGCTGTTAGCATTTGAAGTTTTGTCGTCAAAAAAATATTTGCTTCATCTAATGTCAACGTAACCGTGTTTCAAAAGTTCGCCAGAGCTGTAAAACATATAGTGGCTCTAAAGACAAAAAGGCCACTTGAAATCCGTTATTCTGTTGGGAATTTTTTTTTAAATAATCAGCCAGAAACATTGCCAGCAATTTTGGGTAACGAAACGATATATTTCTTATCGCCGAAGTGCGCAAGTTTTGTTATTTGAAATAAGTTCTTTATAGTATCAAATCAGGAGCCCACCGAAATCGATTACACTCCCTTCTTTTCGAACCTTCTCGTAAGAGCGGATTAGGCCGTTGTCATAGAGGCAACATTAGTGCTATTAGCAGGACGACAAAACTGCTGGCCGTTTTCTGACAAAAAAAAAAACAAACTTGAGTAAGCACGAAACTTGTTGTATTACTTGGCAGGCCAATTGGCGCTATCATGTTCCTCGTTATAACCTGGTTGAAATAGCCTAAGTAAGCAGTCTTTGTGCTTAAATACGAGTTTTAATGCGAAAAAGGCGATCCAGGGTAGGGTGATCAGGCCGACGAACCTTGAAAGAGACATCGCAGTACGCTATGATAGGACTATTGTGTCTATATTACACATTCAGAGATGTCATTTCTTAGGTAAATGAGTGTTAATGAAAAGTTGATGCTATTTGTTTTGCTGTAACGGTTGCGGCCATTTGGTGCATTTGCCCGGTTCGAGTTCCCTTTCTTATTATTAGATCTTCATCTGTTAGCTTGAGGAAGTGAAACTAAGTTCTTTGAACTTCTACGATGTTGAATTCATTAACAGAACGCATAAAAATCAACGTAGGCTGGTACCGTAGGGTGTATTCAATGGATTATGAAGGCCAATGACATTTTTTTCAGTATCCTCTCGTCCTTTTGTCTCTCTTGACTAAAAGGCATGATAAATCCTGTCGAGTTTAGGACGCCTGTCCACTGGTCCAATTCAGGACTACACAACCCAATATGTTCATCGTTTACAAACGTTGATATAGAGGTATTCCATCATCATCATCATACACAACAGCAACTCTATTGTTTATTGTTCCAAGCACAACGGGCTGACCTATCGTGTCTGGTGTCCTCGAGTGCCCGTGACGGTCCTATTACGCACTACTGCATCTGACAAAGATGATGTGCTTCGTCCGGATGATATGAACGCAAAGCTGGAATAGCGAAATACCTCGAAGCCTCAAGCACATCTCAGAAACACTATAAATGGCGACAGATGGCTACGAAATCTCAAGCAAAGCTTACCACCAAGATGCCGCCTCTGCTGCTGCTGCTGCAGCAGTGGTTGATATAGTTTCTTTCTGCTGATGTCAGTCGTGACATGTTTCGCTGTTATGCGTCCATGCCTTATCTTATCAGTGTAACAATGGCAGGCAACAGTCGGAGTTGAAGTTGGTCCTTGTCATGCTTGGCTCACACGCGCAAGTCTGTTGCAAAAAGGGTTTCACAGCCGGTGTCGAAATTATAATGGACCGTTAGCGCATGTCCCGTGGTGAATGCAGTTTTTGAACTTTGAATTGAGTTGTAGTGAATTGGTACCGGACAGTTGTTAATGGCTGAAAATAACTCAACCACGAAAGACATAGAAGATAGTTCTATTTATTGAAGTGGCCCACTATCGTCTACATGGGGAAAACTGTGCATACAGAACGCTACTGGTGCCAGCCAAAGGGTACTTTCAACTGATTGGAACGATACATTATTTTGTCAGCTGTTAACGCCAATTCTCACTTCACTGATCGACCGAGCACCGGTGAAAGATTGATAATCAAAGTTTAACAATGACTGCGAAAATAGCGTCTATCGTATTACGATTCGGCGATTCTATAGCTATCTAAACGGCACACTCTGTTGTTATCAGAAAAACTAAACGTAGGAGACGTCTTCTGCATGATCACCGAGACTATATAGCCTTCTGAGAACCTGCGCAATCTTTTTTTTCGTAGACAGCTCCGGTTCTTGATTCGTTTTGGTTCGCTTCAGTACCAACGACATAGCAACTGGCAAAAGTAAGCATAGGGACCTGAGTACCCCAGTCATCTGCAGCTTCCGCAAAACTTGTACAGTGTTGCTCCTGCAGTTGACAAAATGATCAGCGATCAGATGCGCGATGGGGTTATTTGGAACGACTTGTGCAATCATTATCTAGAGGGGTGAAGGGATGATACGCGCGTTCATTCACCATCGTCGATTGTACCGTGACCTTCTTGCGGTGTTTTGGAAACGACTGTTTCGAAAGGCACCGCAAGAACTTCGTGGGGCTTAGCCTATAGATTTCTAAAAAATTCGATAGAAGGTAAAGCGAACAAGACGTTTATTTGTGAGCCAACTTTAATTAGTAGATCGATACAAGCGTCGCGTTTTGTCGCTCTCTCAATTACTAGATTCAGCTACTTTACTAACCGAGCCGTACGTGACTAGATCAAGAGCTAGTATTGGAATAATGCTAAGAAATTGGCAGCTGTGGGCGTAAAAGCCTATTGTTCAATGGAAATAAACAGAACAAAATCATGAAGTAACGCTAAGGAAAGCTAGCGATAAAGGGGGAACCGGTGAAACGTTTGATAACTCATGTGGGAACCGACCGACTAGAAAGTGATTGAAATACCTTGAAAAAGGCCGGATGAGAGACACCAAGCTAAAATTTGCCGTTTTGACTGCTCTTGCTTGAACGAGCAGCTTTTTCAAAGGGCAATCGAAGCTGAGAAAGACAATTTCCGTTACGGGTGCGGCTTTGTTGCTAAATGCGATGGGCACCATCGTTGTAACTGTACTTTGTGTTAAAAATGTTATTTGCGGGCAGTCTGTAGGGCACCTGACAGTTGAGTCTTCTCTGCAATTGGCAGTAATTTAGGAGTAGATGAGCATACTTCAAGGATTTTCCCTCTTTTTCCGGAGAAAAAGGTCTTTGTGGCCTAAAACAGATAGAGAACAAAGTCGCCTGCAGAAAAGTGTTTGAAACGTTGTGCGCATAGAGCAATAGATGATATCGATGTCAGGTAAAATGTCTCGTTTTGCCCAATTGCTACAGAAATGAAGGAGCAACGTATTGTTTAAAGGTGCTATGGACTGACCTTGTTCTTCAACTGTCGTCTAGTAGGCTCTATCATTAGCTGGTACGGAAGTACAGTGCAGACTACTCAAACGACAAGGTATCTATACGCTGTAAGTTTCTGGCTGGCGTGTCCCTTGAGTTCAGTTTAGAAAACGCGTGTTGAAGTGCAATGCATTTAGAGCTGAACGAAAATATATCAACTTGTATCAGTAAGCCAGGGATTCAAAGGGTGGTATTCGAGGGTATGCATCTTGTAGAAAAGAGCACAAACCATTTTGTGACGTTAGCTGCCATATTAATAAGTTATATATTATATATATATATATTATATATATATAAGCTATAATTAGCGAGTGACGATTCGATCTGAGCATCACTCCAGACTGAAGCTATTATAGGAACAAAGTGTTCATTCGCATCAATTTGTGTCAGGCAACGGAACGTAAAGCAAATTATAGCAGGCGCACTTCAGCAAAGTATTTTGTCGTGGGCAACACTAGAAACAAAGACTTAGCTAGAATTATAAATAGGCTGCCACGAACTTAGAAAAGTTTACACTAGGAAACTATTTCACAAGTTGCGCCTCTACAAAAAAAATCATGGGTCTTCAGTTTCATTTTGATTTTTCAATAAGATCGACAATATAAAATGTGCGGGTACAAAAGGAGCGTCGTACATTATATGTTTGAGTTACGTAAGATAAAAGTTCCAAAGGCTTGTTTTTTATTCAATGGGAGACAATACCATAGGTTGCGATTGTATGTAGTACACAATAAGCTATTGAAGAGATTCTTTTGTCCAACAATGAAGGCTGGTTGATTGATTACTGTTTTTATTAAATAGTTGAATATATGTGAATTAGAAATGTCAATACCATTTTAATAGTTACTTTTGGAAAATTTTAATCTCACCATGGCCGTTTATAATAACCCTATTTTAGTCTTTACTATCCTGTACTGCTGATAAACAAAAACGTTTTTGGAACATATGAGCTACTGATAAAAAGAGCATCAATTAAAAGCGTGTTCAAAAATATCGGGATGCTACATCAACTTTTACAACTTATAGGAAAATATCCACTCTCGAAATCGAGGGTGTAAAGGTTAAGTTTAAAACAACTATTAATTTTTACCCTATTTTTTCGGCTAACATTAACAATAGAGAATTTTACCTGACATGAATTGATTGAATGTGTTTATCCCTAGGCAAGATGCGCTTCCATAAGATTGCTAACGTTAACAAAGCTCTCGAGTTTATCGAATCGAAAGGCGTCAAGCTGGTGTCGATTGGTGCCGAAGAAATCGTCGACGGAAACGTGAAGATCACCCTTGGTCTTATCTGGACGATTATTCTGCGTTTCGCCATCCAGGACATTTCTGTTGAGGAGTTGACTGCCAAGGAGGGCCTGCTGCTGTGGTGTCAGCGCAAGACGGCACCGTATAAGAACGTCAACGTGCAAAACTTCCATCTCTCGTGGAAGGACGGCTTGGCCTTCTGCGCCCTCATCCACAGGCACCGGCCCGATCTGATTGACTACGGCAAGCTGCGTAAGGATGATCCCATTCACAACTTGAACCTCGCTTTCGACGTCGCAGAGAAGCACCTTAACATCCCGCGTATGCTTGACGCGGAGGGTAAGTGTTGTCGTTGTTTTTACTTGGATTCATCGCCAATACTATCAGATTATCAGACAAGATACTGAACCTATCTCGATTGTCTACAAAGGAACGGCATTGGAGTTTAAGCATTGGCTAAAGATTGTTCTCGGTGATGATGATGATAATGATGAGGTGAATGCTGTGTGAATCGACTATCGTTGTAGACATGGTGTATACGGCGAAGCCCGACGAGCGGGCTGTGATGACATACGTTTCGTGTTACTATCACGCGCTTCAGGGGGCGCAACACGTAAGCCAGGACTGGGTTAATGAGCCCGTTTGGGATGTAAGCATCAACCTCCACCATTTGTTCCATGTTAACACCTCTATGCCGGCTGATAAACAACGTTCTTCTTGGAGACCTATATCAGGAAAACGGTCGAAATTTTGGCCTTCCTCCGGCTGAAAGTCTCTCGCTCAACCCCACGTGAGATGACGTGAGCTATCGCGTCATGTAACCAACCTGAAAAATGTCCATGCTTCGATCAATGGATTAGATTCCGCTATGGATCCACTCTGATCTGATCATCCTGATCTCATCAAGAGACTAGCGGCTAGTAATCACAGAATATCAACTAACCCCCTGGAATACGCTCCGTCATGCGCTGCGGCAGTTTTAGCCTGTTTGTGTTTTACTTAAGCATGTATTTAATACTAAACATAGTTTGGTGTGGAGAAAAGAACTACCGTGGCTACGGCCGAACGCAAGATTTGTGGCAGATTCCTATATACAGTGTGATGCGTATTGAACATCGGTCAATCCGATCGGAAAAATTTTAGAAAAGGTGTTCACAAAACATACATGTGTGCGCGTTCTAGCCTCTCCTATGCCTCGAAGCAAAAACGAGGTTTTACAACGACCTTTCTTGTTATGATTAGGCAGAATGCATGCTGCTTGACGTGTTTCATTAATTAACCAAGGTGTGCTGTGCGTGGCAGACGTTGGCTGTGCGGCTATGCCTGACGAACGCGCCATCATGACTTACATCTCATCGTACTACCATGTGTTCAGCGGAGCGATTCAGGTTCGTACCCCAATCACACCTGACGTGACACTTCCCACTTCTTGAACAGCCACGTCTTGTTGCGAAGGCATGGCTATAAAAGTAACTCCGTGTGCCTCTTCAGGCATTCCAGGAAGCTAGAGAGTCTCTTCTGTCTTTGTCTTTGTGTGTGCACTGCAGCATTGAATCTGGGCGTTCTTGCTGAGTAGAGTGCAAAAACCGAGCATTGTTTCGTACTGACGGATCATAGTTGCTACATGCGCTCTGATCTTTTGCTCTTCATGCGACCCTTCCCAAGTTTGCTGAATGTGTTCGATCCATATTGCTTTCGATGTTATTAGTAAGTATAACATTTTCGAACTTTTAACCATCCACGAGTATAGACGGAGACTGCGGCCAATCGTATCTGCAAAGTCCTCAAGGTTAATCAGGATAACGAGCGCCTGATGGAGGAGTATGAACGCCTCGCGTCTGACCTGCTCGAATGGATTCGCCGAACCACCCCCTGGCTCCAAAACCGAACCACGGATAACACTCTGCCAGGTACAATTAAGTCGACGCATTTAACTATGCGTTATAGATACATAGCTAGCACTCCGCTAAAATAATACGCCTCTATTTGTAGCACACAGAAGTTAATTCTAAAACAAGGGCGATATGCTTAATTTTAGTTAGAACTCCATTCTTTTTGTAGGCTTTTTCATCAACGTATCGTCTATCAGTTTATTGTAGTTAGCAATTATGTATGTCACCCCTACACTACCTTCACATATAGGTACTCAGAAGAAGCTTGAGGAGTTCCGCTGTTATCGGCGCCAGCACAAGCCTCCACGGGTCGAACAGAAGGCCCGACTGGAGACGGCTTTCAACACTCTGCAGACGAAGCTGCGCCTTGGCGGCCGACCTGCCTTCATTCCGTCCGAAGGTAAAATGGTTTCGGATATTACCAATGCCTGGAAAGGCCTTGAGTCAGCCGAGAAGGGCTTTGAAGAGTGGCTCCTTTCGGAAATGATGCGCCTAGAGCGTCTTGACCATCTGGCCAAAAAATTCAAGCACAAGTGCGACATACACGAGGATTGGACTCAGGGCAAGGAGACGATGTTGCAGTCGAATGATTTCCGCAACTGTAAGCTGAACGAAATGAAGGCGATGAAAAAGAAGCATGAAGCGTTTGAATCGGATCTGGCCGCACATCAAGATCGGGTCGAACAAATAGCGGCTATTGCTCGTGAGCTTAATGCGCTCGGCTATCATGATGTTGCTTCTATTAATTCGCGCTGCAAGCGCATCTGCGATCAGTGGGACCGTCTGGGCGCACTGACTGCGAAACGCCGCCAGGCTTTGGACGAGGCGGAACGAATTCTGGAAAAGGTTGATCTACTTCACCTCGAATTTGCTAAGCGTGCTGCTCCCTTTAATAATTGGCTCGATCAGGCGTGCGAAGACCTCGTCGATATGTTTATCGTGCACACGGTTGAAGAAATCCAGCAGCTTATCCAGGCGCACGAAGGCTTCAAGAACACTCTTGGGGAGGCTGACCGAGAATATCAGAACATTATTGGACTTTCGCAGCAAGTTCAGTCGCTGGCAACACAGTACCAGGTTTGTTGATCAATTTTTTTTATTTGTACGAATTACTGAGGTCGGTTGAGTTTCCTATAGACCAGTTTTTGGTTTTCCTATTCAGTCTCTTTCTCTCTTGGCCCGAGAACGTAAATGTTCCAAATGCGCATCTATGTAGTCTATAGTACTTTATTAAGTAAAAACCGCTTACCTACCATTTTCAGATTCCTGGCGGCCTGGAAAATCCGTACACGACGTTGACCCCTGGCCTCATTCAGGCGAAATGGGCAGAAACCAGGCAGCTTGTGCCTCAACGCGATCACACATTGCAAAATGAACTTGCACGCCAACAATGTAATGAGAACTTGCGCAGAAAATTCGCTGAGAAGGCGAATCAGGTGGGACCATGGATCGAGCGGCAGATTGACTCGGTCAACTCCATTGGCATGGGTATGCAGGGCAGTCTGGAGGTTCAGCTCAAGAAATTGCATGAATACGACAATGCCGTCGTGCAATTCCGGCCTCATCTTGACGAGCTCGAGCGTATTCACCAGCAGGTACAGGAGGCACTCATCTTTGAGAACAAGTACACGAGTTACACGATGGAGACGCTACGCGTTGGCTGGGAACAGCTAGTCACATCAGTACATCGCAACATCAACGAAGTTGAGAACCAGATTCTCACGCGCGATGCTAAAGGAATCAGCCAAGAACAGCTCAATGAATTCCGCCTGTCGTTCAACCACTTCGACAAGAAACGCACCGGTCGCTTAACACCAGAGGAATTTCGTAGCTGCTTAGTATCTCTTGGTTATAATGTCCGCAACGCTGATGGGCCCGAATTCAGGAGGATTCTTGGTTCTGTTGATCCAAACATGACTGGTGAGCTTCGACAGTGATTCGCTGCCGACTGTGCAAGCACAAACACAATTATATCGATAATATTCCATGCTTGAGATATGAGTCATATCGAGAAGAATGATTTATACCTGACGTTTCCTTTTCTTATATATATATATATATATATATATATATATATATATATATATATATATAGTTAACTTTTATCTCGTTTCATTAACTCTACGACAATTTACCAAACAGTCCCATTATGTCTCATTGTAGGATATGTACACTTTGATGCATTCTTGGATTTCCTGACGAGAGAATACACAGAGCTCGACACTGCGGAGCAGACTATTGATTCGTTCCGTATCCTTGCATCTGACAAGCCCTACATAACGGCTGATGAGCTAAGAAGGGAACTCCCGCCTGACCAGGCCGAATACTGCATTCGTCGAATGAAGCCATATCCTGGTACGTATTCAGAGAAGATTATTGCCCGTAGGACATATAGGACCTATCCTAACCTAAGTAACCGAGACGTGATTGAACAGTAAAGTGGCATATTCTTTTATAATTTTCTTTAATTCATACACTTTGCGTTTAATTGCTCTTTTTTGCTGTTGTCTGCTTCCGACAATCGATCAGCACCTACACTACAAGAGTTTAATCGGAAACGAAGCTGATATCTGGGCAGCTATAGGGCACAAAGTCAATTGTCACTATTAGACTAAGGCTTCGATAGTATTTATGCGCGTGCTTGAACGAAGCTACACTTGTAAAAAAGTAAAACCAATGCTTCCGACGGATTGCTCGACTCCCCATAATTTCAGGTACTCCCGGAGGTCTGGATTACCGCTCATTCGCCACTATGCTCTACGGCCAGTCTGACCTCTAAGAAGGCGTAGGTTTCAGCATCCAGAAGACCCACACCGCCGAACCTAATCGAAGTAACGGAAACTATCGCATCGAACCTGAACACTACGAGAACCACACCTCATACTTAATCATCATATTAAGAATGAGACAGAGCTTTCCCTGAAGTCGAGTCATATTTATTTCTACCTTATTTAATAAAAAAAATTTATTATATATAGGATATATATATATATATATATATATATATATATATATATATATATATAGGATATATACACAGATAGGAAAGAGAGAAAACAGACATTGAGTCGCTTTAATTACTCGTGCACTCAATCATTCGTGAATTGTAACAAGTGAGAGTTCCGCCGCAACCCCCATGGTCCTGCAGTCTGGCTCAGCTAGAACCCAGTATCACGCTAAGAATTAAACACCGTCGGTGGGAACACGTGGGGAAGAGAAAGTGAGTATAAGGGAAAAATAACATATTAAGAAAACTTAACTATTACAGCTATAACTGCCTACCTGAAGACTAAGTTTCCTAACGTCAGTGGCTAAGTGCCCTCAAAATGCTAGATCAATTTGAGGCTAGTCGAGACGCGATAAGGGAAAACCTGAATACCTACGTGACACCACCTAATCGAACAAGATAAAAATACGAATTAAAAACAAAGGTTTGATAGGACAAGTGTGGAAGCAAAAGAAACCGTGCGAAAGATAGAGACTACGCTTCATTGCTCGGAAATACATCGATGTGAGAAAAAGCATGCATTTGGCGCGTAAGAAAAACTAAGAGAAAGTAAAACGGAAATGAAAAACGCACGCGCTCAGCCTTTAATAGTTACAGTGGCGTCTGTAGCACGAAAAGTAAGCGAAATATCCAGACAGTCACGGTAACCCATATTCATATATAATGTCGTGTTTATTTATAATAATAGTAATAAGAGGTGATAGAAGAAGAAAAGGATCCTCACGAGAAAATCGTCGACGTAAATCGTTCCTTTCTTTAAAGAGAAAATGCCACGGTTTTCGTTACAAAAAAAAAGAACAAACACAACAATGGAAACACTAAACAACCAGGATGCCTCGCTGAAGATAGACCCGTTTGACAGTGGCTATGGGCAACAGCGATGTTTGTTTGTTATAGTCAGAAAACTGAACTTCTTAGAAATACAAAAACTCTCCCCTTAGGGAAATATAAAAACTCTCCGCAAACTGACAGAAGATTACTGATCATTTACAATATGAGATAGTATGAACAACGACTTCTGCTCGCCTCTTATGCAGTTGCTCAGCTATGAGGTCTGGGAGTGTGCATGTCTTATGTTGAGAAAGCCACCGTAATAAACGACGAAATTTATTCATGCAGCTGATCAATTTATGATTAATGACCTTCAAGCAAAATACAAATAAACAAATTATTCTCAGACATGAATGGATGATAATATTGATGATGTGAAAGATCATTCGCTGCCTACATTAATAAACGCAATCGGAAAAGTTGTAAAAAATGTTTTTTGTTTTACCTGATCAAGCTTGGAGGTAATTAACAAAAAAGTGGATATTAGTCAAGTTTTAGATAAATAGAGCAGTTAAACATACAGCGCATGTTGCTAGCTAGATCTTACAATGCATACGTTCATCTGAAGAAATTTCTTGCTGGTATTCTATTTTCGTATAATACGGGATTTACCTGTCATTGTTTTTAAAAATCTTCTTTAAAAATAGCAATTAGAAATAATAAACTTGTAACTAATGAACTACTCTAGTATCGCTTCTTACAATTTCAGTCATATAGGACGCTTCCTGATTATGCCACCTGGCTACAATGTTTCGCTAATTCAGTGAAAATTGGAGAAGATATTTCCTGGTATCTATGAGAGCCCATCACAGTCAGAGCCTTTAGTAGTCACTGCTCAATCGTACAGATTTCTCAAAGGAAAAGTTTCTAAAAAAAAAATAAGCTGCTACGATAACAAGGCTATTACTTAAGAAGCACAAAAACATAGCAAAGAGACAAAGGCAATACTGTCCAGTATGTTACAATAGTCGCTAAGAGATGCCTTATCATTAAAACACTGATTGCAAAACTAATCATTGTCAGCTATATAACAAGGCTATCCTTAAACTCGACAATACAATTACCCCAAAAGCAAATATGACTCTTGACTAGATTTCACTAAATTCATTTAGAAAGAAATAGAAGAATTACTAGTGATTGTCTAACTATCGTCAGACATGAAGACTGTGCTCTGCGCACGAAACCCACGAGGTCTCTAGTACGCGATTCGCGCTCAACAACTGGCGTCGTTATGTGCATAAGATAGCTGTTGTGGGTGTGGCACTCCAGAGTGAGCTCAGGTTCGGCCAATTAGAGGGCGCCGTAAGTCGGGCGACTGCACTAGGATGCAGTTCTTAGCTATCTGTAAATACAAATTTTTGTAAACCACAGTATACCTGCTTTCATGGCATTAGAAGCGGTGTTTTTCTATAATGCAATCGTGTCGACGTTCAGCCATGGCGAAACATTACATTATGAAGAGTACAAATTTCAAATGGATGAAATTGCAGATAAGTATATTATTATTTATTTAGCCCGTTAAGATTTTGTTGTACTTCGACGGTCCGTCGTTTAAGATCAGGAGGGATCTGCTTATCGACACTTAAGAATCAGTACATGAAAGTGTTCATGCTTAATGCTCCGCTTAGTAGCGAATATGTGGAACCAAGAGTACACATTAAAAAAACGTCTCTTAATGTTGTACAAAACCTTGGATTTATTGGTGCATCTGAAAGACTGGTGCATTCCCGCCCTAGTTATATGGTTTCTCTTGAGGCTCTGCACAACATAGGTCGGTATGAAGAAAAAGATCCGACTTGTGCTCATATGTACTCTAACACATAGTGCCCAAGATAATCTTCAGTTCTGGTGGTCTCACTCACGGAGCGACCCTTCTGGTAGCGAGTGATGAAGTCCGAGCGAACTATTCGAAGAACAATAAATTGCACCAAGCGACCATGATCCCGCTCCTACGAGTTTTTAGCCAGTAACATAATGAGCCTGTTTCAATTGATCCTGAGTTCTGGAACAGTATTTCCGCTTAGGCTACGCAAGAATTTCGGCGACTTCTTTATCAACACCAAACTCCTGAAGTTGTACAGCGTGACCAAGTAAATCTTCGTGACGTGTCGCGATCCAGTGTCCGCGACAAGAGTTAGCTCGCCGAAATCGGTGAATCTAACAAGTTGTATTTCACCGGCATTCAAAAAACGGTCGATCGCTAGAAGAGTGATTTTACTGATGACGGTTTGCACTGCACTGGCGGCTTTGGCGTTATGGACGCAGTTTGTAAGACTACTCTGTTGAGCTGAAACAGTTCTTTATCTATTCGCCCTGTTGCACGTGTTTTAGAGAAATCGAGGATGTTGAAAGTTCCTGAGATTACCTCGTGTGAGACTGCCTGTGTATCCGAATACAGATAGCACCATGGAGGAGTGCTCTTCACCGATGAGTTCGAGAAGGCCAGTGCCAAATAGGCTCGAACGGCCAGCCAAGACTGTGCGTATTTTGGTGGAAAAATCGTACATGGAACTTTAAGCTGAGACATTAACAGTGCCGCTCTATTAGGCTATTAAAAGCAAATCCGACAAACTTTGAAACTGAATAACTTTTGAATGAGTTCCGCACTTTTTAATATACTAGATGTGCTCCTTTAGTTTTTACCGATTTATTCCAGTGCTCCTGCAGCTTTTGGACGGCTATATACCCACCACTCACGTTCTCATATGTAATTTTTCAATCTATGGCTTCTCATAATGATTCGATAGTGGAGTATACTTGCCTACCAGTTGCCCTTCTTAGGGCATACAAGGCCCCGAAAAACACAAATCTTCATCGGAATACTAAACGGGTCGAAGCCAAAGTTGGGTATTTCTTAGTTCAATCCGGGAAGTTTCAGTGAATGGAGTACGGCGATAAGGTCTAACGTTATCATCAGACGAGACGCTACGCAGTGATTGCTGTCCCAACAGCCCATGTACCTCTTGAGGAACTTAAGATATCAGGCTGCATCCATTATTTTATTTACGGCGAATACCTCTTAATAGAAGTTGTCCTGACGTCCACTAAAGGTACTACCATCACTTACGTCCGAATCTACTCGACACTATTACCAAACTCACTTCCTCTTCAGGGCGACGCCATCCGTTTGCCTTGTCCTTATAGAGGCTACAATCTCAAGTCCATAGGATACGCTTGTAACAGCCTACTATTTACACAATTATTGCTAATCAATACGCAGAGGAAGACGAAACATCTTTTTAACGCTGATGTGTATACCGCTTTGAATACATGGTCAAAGCAGACATTCCATATGGGCACTTTATTATAATACAGAAGTTGTTTCCTTATCAATTCGTCATCGATACGTGAAAAAAGAATGGGCACCGTTTCAGTAAGTACTTATAGAAATTACTTGGAAACAAGGTTTGCTGTTTGAATACCAAGAATCTACGTGTTTTTGTATGATGGAGAGGCAGAAACATTCGATTTTAAAAGTGTAAGCCTCTCCACTTCAGCTCTACCTTTTCAGAACTGTAATTTCCACAATAGAGCGAAAACACTGTTTTATAGAAGCCATTTCACTATTTTACTTGGTCATGCTGAGGGTTAAATGGGCCAGGGAAGACTAGGATTTTATAGGCCACTGTGTTTTGGACATGTGTTAAGTAAATATATAAAGTTAACGATGAATTATTATGCCAAACTCATGGGTAACTACAGTAGTTCCACACACTTGAGTAATGTCTTTGAAGAAGAACGAGCGCATTACAATTCTTTCTTACTTATCAAGCTAAATATAATTCTTATATGCGTTCGTGTTTGAACCACTCGCAGCCTAGGTTCACACTGCTAAGCAAAACTTTTGACCTAGCTAGGCTGGTACGAATTGAGTATGCGGCATTGCCTTCTCGAATTCAAATTCCAGCTTGTTTACGATTTTGGATAAATGTTCTTTCTATAACTTTGATAAAGTGCCTATGTTATTCCCACAAGGTCATCAGAGATACATATAACCTCATCTCTGGCCCATCTAATCCTGTTTTCTGAAGTTATATAGAACAACGACATATCTTCAAATAATATTTCTTCAAAAATTAGTAAATCATTTTTAATAAGTTTTTTTTTATGTTACAAGATAAAATCATCTTTAGCGTACACATTGTGTATGCATTTCTACCGCGATAGCGGCTGTCCTCAGCACTTTAGGTAAGCATTTTGCCACATATAGCCTGACTCTCCCCTATATGCAACAGGCAATAGCGCGCCACACCAATTTCAAACTGCTGCAACATAGTTAAAACCTAACAAAGATGGCGGCACATACAGACATGGTTGTTCGGCTGCCGGTAGTCAGGTAGTGCGTTATGTTGAACAGAAACTATGCTATTACTGCTGAATTAATTCGTCGAGTGCCGTTCGCCTACTTTTAACTTTTATACTAGTTGGCATACAAAGTGTGCCACAATCGAATTTGCCGTCAGAAGTTTACGCGCCGACCAAATGTCCGGTCGACTGTACAATAACTTGGTGGCATTGCTTCCGCAGTTTCGGGTAGATCCGAATCGGCCTGGTAAATGCTTCGGAGAGTTTATACGAAACAACCTGAACAAAGGATTTCCTGAAGGAGAACGCTCTGTGAAAGTCGATGTGAAACTCTGTAAATAGCAACACATTACGCATATATTAAGAGTACTAGTTTTTTTTATTTTGTTTATTTATTACGTTTTGTTTATTTAATCACACCTATTGATTTCGACTTTTATGATTCATATAATAGAAGTTTTTTGTATTACTGCTTACAGTTTATTATGGATGACGCGTGGTCGGAATAACGTAGAATAAAAAGTGAAAACATTCAATCAGATTACAAAAGAAAAAATTCAAAGAACTTCCCCAATTTCAATAAATTGGGGTAATCATAAGTAAGTATTCATCTAGTAAATAGAACTATTGCTAGTTTTCATAGGACTTAATATCTAATTTTGGTAACGTAACTGTACATGTTAATGACAGACGTGTTCCTATGGTAGGGCAAGAAAACTACGAAGCTTTGAGGGTGCTGGCTGCCAGTACTGACCAGAAAAGGTTTCCGCGCCGCTACACGTCGACCGCGACGGGTATTACGTCCGAGCAATGCTCTCAAGCTATAGACGGTTCGTTAGTTTTTTTTCGTATTTTTCTTTTCATCTTACAAATTACACGGAATTTTGTGTTTCGTAGTATAAATATAAACGTTTTCTACTTCTTTGTCGTCTTAAATTTGCAGAGTATCTTCACAACACGAAAGCCTCGGAAGGCGATCGTGAGACTTCGATCACAAGCGCACTCAAAAAGTGGCTAAATATCTAAATGTTAAGTAAATCTATCATATCTGTGACGGAGTCTGCCGTATTGCTGGAGTAAACTTTCATTAAATTGCTTAAAATTATCGCATTCGTTCGCATACGAAAGAGCGAACAGACTAAGGACAAAAAGTGGTCTATCGCTGTTTGTACTAATCGAAACGAATTATGAGGTGTATTCATTGCGGGGCTGAGGCTAGCAGCTTGTATCATGTTTTCTGCGGGTCAATCAAACTAAGAGAATGCGTAAGTGCTTTTCTGTCATAAACCGTTTCCGAGGGAACTGGGACTTTAATAGCGCATTTTATCTCTTGTAAACATAAGGAAATACGGTATTTTCACGTTTTGTATAGTATTATATGGCCTGACGAAGCAGTATATCTTACATAAATTGTGGATAAAGAGAATGAGAGGCCAAAAGTGACTAAAAGTTTAAGAATTTACAGTGGAAGGAAAACTCAACGAAGACAGCTAACCCCTGTGACTTCCGATATACTCTGGGCATTGGCAGGAAGAATGTAGCCACTTTATCGATGATCTTTTGGAGGTTGAACCAATGGTGATTGGGGTGAAGTTATTTCTGTTGCGACGGCAGGTCTATCGGCACCTTTGCTGCAATCGTGAAGGTCCTCTGCCACTGCAGGTTCCGATTACGCTTTTGGCAATGGAGGTCTGTAGATAGATGATTTCCTATCAACGCTCTTAGTTAGACTTTCGGCTTAAATGTAAAAAATCAAGCAACTGGTACTCTTGAAATATTGAAAATCACCTAGATATATATATGTATATATATATATATATATATGTAGTTTATTAGGATAACTATGGAAACTAATATATAT